AGGGACCCCTGACCATTAGGTCCAGTCATGACTGACTCTGGGGTTGCGGCGCTCATCTCACTTTATTGGCTGAGGGAGCCAGCGTACAGCTTCCGGGTCACGTGGCCAGCATGACTAAGCCACTTCTGGCGAACCAGAGCAGCGCATGGAAACGCCGTTTACCTTCCCGCTGGAGCGGTACCTATTTATCTACTTGCACTTTGACGTGCTTTCGAACTGCTAGGTGGGCAGGAGCAGGGACCGAGCAACGGGAGTTCACCCCGTTGCGGGGATTCGAACCGCAACCTTCTGATCAGCAAGTCCTAGGCTCTGTGGTTTAACCCACAGTGCCACCCGCGTACCTGTTGTGTTATGGACCAGTGCCTTTTACTGGCATGTTGCACTGAATTTCTTTCACACCAGTGATCACAGGCAACATGGCTGCTTCCTCACACTTTCCACACCTGCATGTTTCTGCTTCCCCTGATGAACCCATGAAAATGGCAGGAAAGAAATCAATGCTGGTATACCACCCCAAATTTGGTTTACTCTCACAATGTTCTGGGTGAATGCACTGGGAGAGTGTGCCAACAGCGGAAAAGCCAGCAAAGGAACCCGCAGCTCGGCGCATGCAACAGGATGCGTTGCACAGCGCCTACAACGTTATACGGCGCTCCGGGCGCGGTGCCAAAACAGCTGCCATGCAGCTGGGGCAAGAGCTGACAGCCGAGTGGAGCAGAGCCTGTCTGAGCCCCGTGGGCTGTTCTGTGGGCAGCTTGCTGCGAGTTCAGGGGTGAGCGTTGGAGACCGGGGAAGAGCCCGCAGCGTTCCGACGGGCTCTGCTCCGCTTGGCTGTTGGCGGCTCTTCCCCAGACTCCAGCGCTCAGCCCCAGACTCTCAGCCTGGGGCCCCTGAGAGCCCAGCGCCTGGGTGCCATGCTACCCTAGCACCAACGGTTAAGACGGCCCTGAGCATTTTGTATACCAAACACTCTAGTGTGTTAGTTTTGCATATCTGTATTCATGCTCTTTTCCTTCCAGCATTTTTCCAACATTCTTTGAATGTGTGGGTGGCACAGAAGTGGAATCCCATAAGTAACCAGCTTGTAATAAGGTCTGGACAAACACATGCTTTTTGTGACGGAGCTGTTTTTCAAGGCTCCCGCTTGTATAATCCCATGTTATGTACAGCTGCATTCTGAAGACTCTTTCCAGACCTTATAAAGAACCTGTGATTTATCCAGATTGTGTAGAAGTTAGCCTGTTATTATTTTGGTGTGCAATAGCAGACATTTGTGAAAAGCAGGTTGCAGTTCTTCAAGAATATGGACATAGAAATAGATTGGTTTGCCCTTTCTTTGGCAGATGTTTTGTTTGCATTTGCAG